ATACATACATAGGTCTATGTATATATACAAATCTGTATGTATATGTTTATATGTATATAAATAATTCTAGTAAATATTTCTCCTTCTATCATAATTTCTTTAAGTCGATCACAGATGTGCTATAGCTGGTTAGAGAAAATAATTGTTACTTTAAAAAAGCTATTGTTTCACCTTTAGAATGGTTGCAGTGCTATCTAAAATTGTTCCTAGTAAAATGAAAATGTTCAGATAGAAAAAATGTTTGCAGTGGTGGGAGTATTGCATTAATAAGAAGTGTTTCTCAAAGCAACACTAGATGAAACTAGTCAGATAGAAATTCCAAGGTTAAAGGGATTTGTACATTGCCTTCTATGTAGATGTTAGAAAGTGTAGGGGGCGAATATTCTCCAATTTTGAAAATATATATATATATATATATACATATATATACACATACATATATGTGTGTGTATGTGAGTGTGTATGTAAACACATCCTTTTTTGGTGTTTAAAATATGAGGCATGGTCCTTTGAATGCCAGCAGAAGAGAGGGGAAAAAGATGAGATGATCTTCATTAGTACCGAGCTATTTCCTTTTATGAAGTCAGTGAGTGTTGTCTTTTGCTGGAGACAACTGGATTTGATAAACTACAGATAAATACTGCCAAGGTATAGTGGAAGAAGCTTTTAAATCTCTTGTGCCATAAATCAAATGTTATAAGCAAAGTGAAAATCTTGGTCTTATTTTAAGGAAACTGATGAAGAATGTTGAATGCCCTCTTCCTACACACTTCTGCCACCCCCAACAAAGTTTGTTTTCATTGTCCCTGAACACTATAGAAACATCACTAGTGTTTTGTGACTTTGGATCTGCTTTAAGAAGACAAGGGATGCTCTTTTTTTATTTGTAGGAAGGTAATGAGGTGCATTCTTGTTAATACCCCCCATGGAAATTATAAGAAATGCAATCATAGCATCATTTTTCATCCTATTATCAGAAGAAACTATTAGACCCCAGGCTCTAATGAAAAATTTTTATCATGATGGGATGCAATTAGGACACTTGGTGAGAAACTTCTAACCTAATTACAAATAAGATGATGAGGCCCACAAGTTGACAAAAACCCAACTTGGACTTATGGCATATTTACTGATTGTTTATGTATTTGTTTCTTAACCAAATAGCTTCTTTTGTGAATTTAACATCAAATGCTTGAGGTAAGCTTTCCATTTCCTTCGAAGTTTAGAGCAGTCTTGCTCTCAAGTAGCACTTGCAGAACCAAACAAAATGTAAAACACACTTAAACCAGGAAAATCATGAATTTTTATACAGCTGTGCTTCAGTTTTATATATTTTAGATCGAGCAAGGGAGTGTTGTATTGGGTAGCTGAGGGAGGAGATGTAACAAGGCTTTTTGCTTTTATTTAAGCCTGACACCCACGCATGGTCCCAAACACTTCTCAACTTCACAAAACACAAGGTAGAGGAACAACTGTGGCCGGTGAGGTAAAGTGTTGCAGAGTATATAAAATATTTATAAGGTAGTTATACATTTTTAAAAGAGTAGATAGAAATTCAAAGCAAGATAGAAATTCAAAGAATTTCCTTCTTCTTCTGGTAGTCTAAGACTTTGAAGAAACCAGGGGCTGGAAAGGAAGATTAAAATAAAATATCATCAATCCACCAGAAAAAGTTACAATATTGAAATAAATGGAAACGATCTAGCTTGGGACTCCAGACTTAAAGGGAAGACTTGCAACTAAATATGGATATTCCAGTATTGGTGACATATTGCATTGGGCTGAAACTGTTGTAGCACACGGAAAACATACGTATCTATTTAGAGACTTGTGGACCCCAGCACAACTTAAATGAATTAGAGTGATAGGAGGTCTAGATTAATTAAAAATGTTTACACCGAGAACTTAGCTTGATGTTTCCATTTGCCCATGAATATTTAGGAGACAAATTTCTATCTTTCTTGGGAGCAGTTCAACTTAAGGATAGGATCACAGTATTTTAGATTTAAAAGGACTTTAAAGCCTATAATCATTATAGGATTAAAGGATTTAGAGTTGAAAGCAAGTGTAAAGGTTATCTAGATCAGCCCATTTTACAGATGAGGAAACTGAGGACTAAAAAACATGATGTGATACCTAAGGACACACTGGTAGTGAAATGGCAGGAGCAAGATTTTACTCTGAGTCCTCAACATTCAAATTTATCATACCTTCTATAAACCAGGAAACCGAGGCTCAAAGAGGTAAATGACTTGATCATGTAAGTCAGACCTTAGCAGAGAAGACTACACCCAGAGGAAAATGGATGCTGATCCAAATTTACTTTTTGCTGTCTAGTGGGTTAGACTTGGTATCAAATGGACTATGTAGTTCATGTTACATTTGGGAAATTTTCCCCCATTTTATTACTTTTATTTTAATCCAATTAAACTGTTTATTAAAATAGTGATCTTTTGTACAGAGCCATTTAGATGAAAATTGTAAGAGAAGTCAATGATTTGATTGATAGATATGCACACACAGCTAGACTGACATCAGAACTCAACTAAACCTTCTGCTGGGATCAGAGCCAGTGGGTGAATGATAACCAGCTGGCCCGAGGATCCCGAGAAAACCAGACAAATGGCTAATACCCACAATGGCTTCTGGTGACTACGAATATAGAACAGACTAGGGAGTAATGGAGCAAGGGAATAGGAAATAGAAGAGATTGATAGATCAAGAAAGAGTTCATGGAGATGGTGATAAAAGGATCTGAGCTTGGATGGTTCTGAAAGGCTGAGATAGGGAAGGAGTGAATTCTAGGAATGGAAAAGGATCTACATAAGGCCATGGAGGATGCAGAACAGCTTGTGTCCAGAAGCTTGTCTAAAACATGGCCTACGTGAGGGACAACAATGTGATAAAAAAAAAAAAGGTTGCAAAGGTAGGTTGGAGCCACTTGGGGGGGGGCGCAAATGCCAGGGTAAATAGGATCTGATGCCACAATCAATTTTAACTTACTGACAAAAGGGAGATACTGATGCCTTTGGACCAGGATTTATTCAGACCTGAGTTTTACAAAGATGACGTTGGCATCTATGTGAAGGAAAAATTGCAGAGAAGACTGGAGGTAGGCAAGCCAGTTAAAGATTATCTCAAATCATTGTGGGTAGAGGGAAGGGGACAGATTAGAGAGCTATTGTAGAGATAGAAACAGATTGGAAAGGGTAGGTAGTGAGGGAGAAGGGAAAGGATGAAAGATGACAGGCTTTGAAGATGAGTGAACTTGGAAGAGAGTAATAATGTCCACAGAAAAAGGAAAATTTGGAAAATGGACCAGGATTTTTGCTGTTGTGGTTGTTGTTGTTGGGGATAGGTGAGGTCAGTTTTGGATATGCTAACAATAATAGCATCTCTATAACACCTCAAGGTTTACCAAGTACTTCAATGTATTATTTCATTTGGTTCTCCTAAAAATCCTGGAGGGTAGACGCTATTATTTCCATTTTACAGATGAGTAAACAAGCTAGGAGAGGTTAGATGACTTGCCCAAGGTCACACAGCTAGTAAGTATCTAAGGTCAGATTTGAACTCAGGTGTCCCTGACCCCGAGTCCATCACTCTATGCCATACTGTGCCACCAAGCTGTTCAGTTTGAAGCTCTCATCACCCATCCAGGTGATGTTCGACTGACATTTGGAGACACGAGACTGGAGTTCAGGGGGAAGGTTGGGATGCATACATGTTCTCAGTGAAGAGGTGATAACTGATTGACCCAATGAGAGCAGGGGAGATTTTCAAGGGAGAATGTGGAGAGAGAAGGCCCAAGACAGAGTCATGTTTTAGGAGATGGATGATGAACCAGTATGGGCACAGAACTGATGCAACTTAAATTCCCTTCTTCTACTCCTGGGGGTGACATTTTTAAACCCTACCCCTACACATAAACACACACATACACACACACATGCACAGACAGAGATAGAGAAACAGAGATAGAGAGAGATGGAGACAGAGAGACAAAGAAAGAGAGGTTAAATTAGGCAGCAAAATGTTGGTAAGTAGTACCCTTGAGTGTACTGACATTATTGAAGCTTTCCTATGACTATCTTTCTAAGATAGTACCATAGCACTGTAGGGATGGTCACAAATGCCTGCAACAGATATCCAAAAGTTATAATAGTCATAACTACTAGCAAACCACATACCCAAAGTAGTGGATGTTTAAAGACCCTTTAGGCAGAGAAACAAATGGTAGGTTTCCACAGGGAGAGTAACAATTTAAGAGTTTTCCGGGAGCCAATACATCTACTTATTCACTGTTTCTCACTGATGTATTGCTCAGTACATTAGGTTTGTTAGACTTTGAAACTCATCCAACCTATATTACAATATTCCACAAGTAACCCTTTAGGCATCTGCCTCCTTTCTGGGGAGAGACCAAACCCTTAAAGAGATCCTAGAAATAATAGTTCCCTGGTGAGCTGAACCAGTATAGCACTATCCATATTGAAACCTCCATTGTTGATAGAAAAAGCACATTTGTTTCAGGTTCAGCACAGAACTTAAGGTGCTTCCAAAACTTAATCCTAGTTCCAGATCAACTGAGTCTTGTCTAGACTAGGAATAACTAAGTGATACCATGGACCAGAACGGAATTCCTGTTGGAGTGAAACAAAAGTGGGGAAGTGAACTGGCTTTTGCACATCTGTTAGCTCCCTGATAATAATCTCTTTTAACTCTCTATTCTGTCTTACAATCTTCTTGTCTCCTTTTTCTCTTCAATTCTCTTCTCTTCTCTTCTCTTCACTTCACTTCTCTTCTCTTCCTTTCTCTCCTCTTCCCTTTTTCTCCTCTTCCCTTCCATTCTCTCCTCTCCTATATCTTTCCTCCCCTTTCCTCTCTCTCTCTCTCTCTCTCTCTCTCTCTCTCTCTCTCTCTCTCTCTCTC